CTTTTTCAGTCACTATCAGCTCCCCCAGCCACTACAGTAATTTCCTTCTTTGCCTGTTGCTTCAGAGGAACAAAGAGCCCGAAGCGACCAAGTGGCAGCCTTAATTTCCAGATTAGTAGAAATATTATTGTGTCTTCTGGTCTACGCTTTGCTCCCATTGGAAGTAAGACCCTAGGCCACCAGAGCTTAAGGTCATGGGGACAAAGAACAAAAATTTTTACCAGTGGATCACTAAGAGTAATAGTGAGTGGTGTCCTTCAAGTTTCCACCCTTTGATTCCTGGACTCATGAATCTTCACTGTGTGAGAAACACCACATATTGGACATAGATTCAAAATATGCACAGCATCCTGGAGAAGCTTGTCTCAACCCTGCAAGGTTTTGTCATCTACCTGGTACTGCAACTGAGCCTTCCAAAGGCTATTCCACTGTTCTAACAAGTCAGCTGCTTCAGAACAGCTGAGACTACAGTAAGTAGAGTGAATTCCTTGAGCATAAGCCCATTGCCACACTCCACTTGCTGTGAAGTGAGTTTCCCGATCAGATACAAAGCTATACAGAGTACTATGATGGTGGATAAGGCAGTCTCTAAGTCCACAGATGGCAGTTTTGGCAGAAACATGGTATGTAGAGACAGCACATCCATACCCTGAGTGTCTATTCCAGTAAGAACTTCCTTTCATGGTGGAAAGGTCCAGTGCAATCAACCTGCCACCTGGAAGCTGGCTGATCACCCTGGGAATGGTGCCATCTCAGGGCCTCAGTGCTGGGTTCTAGCTGATTGGACACTCAGTGGGGGCCATAGCCAGGTCATCCTTGAAGGGCGGAAGTCCCTGCATAACCTCCGTCCCTGCACCGTGGCCCCTGTTCATGAGCCCATTGGGCAAGGACAGGGGTGGCCAGGGAAAGAGGCTGACCGGTATCCATAGAATGTGTCATACTATTGACCTGACTATTAAAAATCTTCTCTGCTAAGGTCATTCTTGAACATTCACGTAACACCATAGCTTCGTGTTTTTAGTCTGTCTGAAGAGTTCTGTCCACTTAACTCTTCCCCAAACCTCCTTGCCACCAATTTTCCCATCATGTTCCTTCCACGTCCCTCACCATCCACCAAACCATTGGCCACAGCCCAAGAATTGGTATATAATCACACATTTGGCCATTTTTTTTTCACCAAGCAAAGTGAACAACCAGGTGCGCTGTTAGAAGTTCTACTTTCGGGGAGGATTTCTCTTTACCACTGTCCTTTGGGGATGTCCCGGAAAGGGGTTATACTGCTTCAGCTGTCCATTTTGGGGCAGTGCCTGAATATCATGCAGAACCATCTAAGAACCAGGCCCAGGTTTTCTGCAGGGCCTGTGAACGCATAGTTGAGACCATATGAGGCCACAGGTGCAGGCCGGGAGAGAGAAGGCAGTGTAGCATGGGTGGGGATCACAGGCATTGCATCACTTCTTTGTGTGATTTACTTGTAGCTTCAGGGTGTGCTTGAGCTCAATTTCATACCTCTTCCACCTGATAATGAGGTGCTGCTACGCACGCCCCACTTCATGGCTTGGTGGGTCAGACCACACCCAGTTCATGATGGGCAGTTTAGGTCTCATGGTAATTGGTGACCCAGGGTTAAGCATTCAATGTTTACTAAGGCCCAGGAAGAGGCCAAGAGCTCTTTCTTAAAAGGACAGTAGGTATCTGGGGAGGATGACAGGGCTTCACTCCAAAACCCTAAGGACCAGCACTGTGCCTGACCTAGACGAGCCTGCCAAAGGCCCTAAATAGCATCCCTGTCTGCACTGACACCTCAAGGACCACTGGATCTGCTGGATTACGTGGCCCAAATGGCAGAGCAGCTCCACGGCAAACTGCACCTGTTGCAGATCCTTCTCTTACTCTGAGCCGCACTCAAAGGCATGGCACACACAACTGAAGAACATGCTGCCTCCACAATCTACAGGGGTCCACTAGACATTGTGCCTCTTTTTTGTTGTAGAGGAAGCCAGATGCAATAACTTATTCTTCACCTTAGAAGGATGTCTCCACATGCCCCCCACCACTTGACCCTAGAAATTTCACTGAGATGGAAAGCAGGTCCTGAATTATTGTCACATTTATTTCACACCCCTTGGCATGTATATGTCTTATCAATAAATCTAAATGCCAAAAGAATGCCAAAGATTTCCAGCATACCACTAGAAGCTGGGAGAGGTCTGTGGAACAGATTCTCCCTTAGAGCTCTCAGAAGAAACCAACTCTGCCAACACCTTGACCTTGGACTTCTAACCTTTGGGATTGTGGGAAAATAAATTTCTGTTATTTAAGCCACTGGCTCACTGCTTTGTTATGGTAGCCAGAGTAAAGCGATACACCTGGATATTCAAGTATATTTAAAGCAGCTTTATTCATAACGTCAAAAACTGTAAATACCGCACATACCCATCAAAGACTAGATTAACAAATTTTAGTATAATACGTCTACACAGTGGTATACTATGACAAATAAAATATGTCAACTACTGACAGAGGTAAAACATAGATGAATCCCAAAAATATTATATGAAATGAAAGAAACCTCACACACACAAAACCAGTACTAAAAGTCTCAATCTCTATGACTCTCCAGAGGAGGCAAAGCTGATCTACAGTTATGCACAGCAGATCATCAGTTGCCAGGACTGGTGGAACAGAATGAGGAAGAGCGCGACGGTATTTCTGGGGTGATGCGCACGCCCGCCCCTGCACGGGGGAGGGAGGATCACATGGGTGAACACGTTTGGCAAAAGTCCTATAGCTCTACCCTTACAGTGGTTGCATTTTGTTGTGTGTAATTATACCTCAGTAAAGTTGATTGAAAATATAAATAATTTAAAATTTTCGAATATTCATACACATAAAAAATAAATGAAGCTTTAGAAAACAGTTTACAGCAATGATGTTGTTCTTCACAAACATATAACATAGTTATAATTTTAAAATTCTACTTTGCTGAAAAGCTGAATCTCAGAAAGACTAAGCAGTCTGCCCATGGAACAAGTCACATCCATGCCTTTGTGTTCCTGTGTGCCTTCTAATACCAATACTGTTCATCGATCTATTGCCCGCCCCTTCTCCTATAATTCCACAATGTTACACAAATTGAAATTAATCTTATTTTAAATATGACATTTATCATATATTAAAAATAACTACCAAAGTGTACAGAGAGTAAATAATTTTGTCATTTTCGCCTAAAACTGGCTGATTTCTACAAGACTGACATATTTTTGAGATGATAACTTTTTTAGAATTACTCTATTTCCTATTAAGTTCTTCTACACACTAAAATCACTGCACAGGAGCACAGAATCAGTCAAGAGTAGAGAGTCAAACTTGGACACAACAAATAAGTTAGCTGAAATCTACCTGTTGACTGATGCTTGTCAATTATCAAAAGGTCAGTACAGGTCAGGGAATACCTAATCCAAACATCCAAAATCTGAAATGCTCCAAATTCTGAAACATTTTGAGTGCTGACATGAGACAGTGGCACCTTTGTTGTCCAAAGGTTCAATGTACACAAAATCTGTTTTGCACACATAATTATTAAAAATACTGTACAAAATTACCTTCAGGCTATGTGTATAAGGTGTGTATGAAACAAATCAATTTCATGTTTAGACTTAGGCCCATCCCCAAAATATCTCTTTATGTATATATAAATATTCCAAAATTTTTTTAAAACTTCAAAATTCAAAATACGGTCATAAGCATCGCAGATGAGGGATGCTCGACCTGTATATTGTAACTATCCAGAAAAATACATCATGAGTGTTTTGTCAGTTAAGGCCCCTGGGTGCTTACTAAGAAGTTGGCTTATCATTTTAAAATTCCTTGGGAATGAAAGTGTAAGTAGATCGATTATTTACCAATTTGCATGAATTTTAAAACCAGAAACTATTCATCCTCCTTCAGTGGAAGTAACTAGTTACAGTTTAAATTAACTAGTATGTTGTGAACAAAGCTATAAGCACACTTTTTTATTTTATTTTTTTACTACTCTTTGAACAGAATCCTCCAATTTACTACTGGACAGAAAGGCAACGATGAGCAACTATATTTGATTCATTTCATCTTTTTTTTTTCTTTTGTGACACTTTCAGATTCTCTTCTCAGAAACGCCAATATTAAAAACTATTGATTCTTGAAGCATTACTGCAAGTCTATAACCAAGAATCTCCAGTACATAGAAAAGGCAAAATTGAAGTAAATATCAAGTTAGCTAAGGGTCTGGTCAATAGTCTTAGGTTGGTTGGTTTGTTTTGAGACAGAATCTGGCTCTGTCACCTGGGCTAGAGTGCTGTGGGGTCAGCCTAGCTCACAGCAACCTCAAACTCCAGGGCTCAAGGGATTCTTCCGCCTCAGCCTCCCAAGTAGCTGTGATTATAGGCACGTGCCACCACACCTGGCTAATTTTTTCTGTTTTTCGTAGAGACGCGGTCTCGCCCTTGCTCAGGCTGGTCTTGAACTTCTGACCTCAAGGGATCCTTCCATCTCGGCCTTCCAGAGTGCTGGGATTACAGGTGTGAGCCATGGTTCCTGGCCAATAGTCTTAGGTTTAAAAAGTTTATTGAGTAGATTACACCTCAAAAATAAAATAGATAATTGGACATGGAAAATCTGGCATTTGAAATTTGAAGAGGAGGGTTGGAGCTGAAGATTCTGACGCAGGTACCTATGCATGCTTGTTGTCCTAGGAATGTTTTTCACCCCCTCCATGTCCTCAAACTTTACAAGCAATAACATATGGAATACTCTAAGTCATCATATCAATCGATACGGTTTTGCCCAAACCACGCAGATGCCAGGTTTCAGAGTTGCCCAAAGCTGTATAGTAAGATGACATAATTGTTCAACTCTGGTCAGAGTGATCATCTCACGAACTGCCGCGAGTGAAGGTCTCCCCGGACTCTGCTGTTCCGTATCATCTTCACTGCTGGGGATAACGAGGCAACTTGAGGGTTTCAGTATGGAAACACGAGTTCATAATCATGCTCCTGGGTGCAGGAGGAGGGCCTCGTGACAAAAGTCCTAACAAGGGCGTATTCCGTCTCTGATCCTTCTCTAAGCTGTCTCAGTCTCCTTGTGATGGAGTCAATGTTCTCATAGCTATCATCATTGGAGGTCAGGGAGGGCTTTGGGTGGGGGACGTGCTTAACGACAGTGTAGCACACTTCCTCAGAACCACTGCCGTTCTCACTTTCCTGCCAAGCACAAGGAGAAAAGAAATCAAAGACCCAGGATCACCCATCACATGGAACTCAGTGCCCCTCCCCCCTCCCGTCTTGTCTTTGTACCCCGATGGCGCTTTCACACTTCGGGTAGCCAAAGCCCTCGCTCCAAGCCCTGATGTCTTACAAACCTCATTTTAGCAACATAAACTGCTCAAAGCTACTATTCATGCTGCTTTTATTTCTCCTTGAATAATGAAAGAGAAAAGAAGGAAGCTATTATCCCTCTAAATATCTAGAAAAAAGTAGGTGCATATTTTAGGTCACACATACTAAGGTGCAATGTAGGCAGCAATCAGACCTCAGTAAGTACCAAATCAAGTCATATAATGACAAACTTTTGTAAGATAAAATACTAATAATAAAAATTAGAGTTTAAATACCTTTTTAATTGCATAGACAGTAAAGAAAAAATAAAAGATTAATATATACTAATTAGATCAATAAAATGCTTATAATATAGTATTAAAAGGAATAAACATTTTTCCATACATCATTGATTTCTACCATGTTTATAAATATAAATGCTAATTTCTGGACATAAAGACTGAAAGGGAATGTGAAAGCTAAAAAGAATTACTGTGGTTTATGGTAGTCAGATTATAAGGGTAAATTTATTTAATATCATTTTTTGTTATAACTTTGAAAATTAAAATAATAGACCAGTAGCATTGGGACTAAAACAATAAGAACTTGCTAAATATCTGAATCAGTTAAATTACTTTTTAATTTTTTTGTTTCCTTCCATTTCTGCATTAAAATTACCAATTAAATTATTTCAAATGTGAAAGATTTCTATAAGTCCATTTAGCAGTTGCAAATAAAAGAACACAGATGCCACCCTTGAATAAAATTATCTATATTTTGACATTTATCAGACAAATGTAATGAAAGCTTATTTGGGGTTTTTTTTGGGGGGGGGCAGTGTTTTTTTAATTACCTGATTAAAAGTGGATGTAACTTCTTCAACTAGAGGACAAAAAAAATAAAAGGAAAGCAACATGAGACTTTTGGATCTTCACAAGTTGAGGAAAAAGATGAAGAGGATATATAATGTAGTGACAAAACTTCAAAGAGGCCCGTTATCTAACATTATTCTATCTCATAATCCATCTTATAATATTCGAGGCTAAATGACAAGCTTAAGGAACAACATGTGTTCCGAGGCAGCATCAGCACTATGTTCTGTGTGTAAATGATGTGCACCAACTCTACGGAATAACATGGATTTTGGAACTTGGCAATAAAGTACTATCCATAAACGTGCTACGACAGTGAAGTATGGCAATTATAAAGAAAGAATGATTATACTTGAAAATTTTAGAAATAAATTTTACATAAATAACACAGGAAAATCATATAATTCTTAAAAATGAACAATCACCACATAGGCACAGAAATAACAAGAGTAACTATTCCAAATTCAATACAAATATACAGATTCAAGTTTATTCCATTTGTGAACAATGAAGCAATGTATATATGTGTTAGTCTTAAATCTTCTACTAATATCTTTAATAAACAAGCTAAAATTAGGGAGGTCACCAAATACTAAGTATGGCAATCATCCCTATTTATAAGAAGACAATTGACTGATTCTGAAATCTACAACCTAATAAGCTTGTTAGTGATTCTTAGCAAAATCATAGACTATATTAAACAAATTAACAGACTGTGTAAAACAAAGTAACCTAAAATTTCTAACAGCTAAACATTCTTCACAAACAAAGTCACGTTCAATCCACTGATTTCAAATACAGAATGTACACACATCCATATAATCATATATCTTTATTAATGTAGCCACATGTAATAATTTAATTAAACAAATGTATTGATTTTCATACTGTTTTATAACCATAAACTGAGGAAATTATGTAGCCTGAATACAATTCAATGATAGCATTGAAAACAATGGTTTGGAGAGCCAAGTATGAGCGTGAAGGGCATGAAGAAATCAAAGACCACTGGGTAAAGTGGCTGCTGCTATTGATGCTGAAGTTGTTAAAATATTTAGGACCATATTAAGTCTCAGATTGAAATCATGGAGCATACCACAACTGTGCTAAAAGCCAGCTGAATGAACATCCTGAGTAGACTTCCCATTTGAAGACAGGGCATTGATTGGGAAAGAATGTGAGCCTTAGAATCAAAATGAAAATATCTGAAAGAATTTCTGACTTAACTACTCTAACTCCCAACCTCCAAAATATCTCTCTTGTCATATGAGGTACTTCCTGTGGTCTTGGATAATGAGGCTCTTCCTTATTGCTTGAAAACTCCAAAGAAGTCATCTTGCAAAGAAAAGCCAATTATTATTAATATATCACGCCTTACCAAGAATACATCATTACATTAGAGTGAAAATGAAAATCAGATTAAAGCATGCTCTTAAAATGGAGTAGAATATGACAGAAAAAGAATATTTACACTATTAAAATCATCTGCCTAAATCAAGCAATATAGGGGTCCGCACCTCCATGAAGTTTCTGTGAGTTTAGTCATCTGAATGATTTTAGGATAACCCCACCCAAATCAAGTTTCATCTCCTCTCTTTATAAAGGCAGCACAATATTTGGCGAGCCTCTTAAAATCTGGGTAAGCCAACTGGAGTTGGGCTCAGAGTAAGAGACTTTCCTGTAAAAGGATTAATAAAATGCAAAATTTGGTTCCATTAAAAATATCAGTAAAATGAATGAACTCGAGTACAACTGACCAATAAAATAATAAATGGAAAATACACGTGTGCAGGGACACACGCGTGCACACGTGTACATAGAAACAGTGCTAGGAATGAGCAAGAGAACATCACAATAAGCATCACAATGCAAGCATTAAAAACATGAGGAGTAAACAACTTTAAGGACTTTGAAATTTTAATTGAAAGGACAAATTTGATGAGAAATGTAACTTGCAAAGCTGACAAAATGAAACAAAAAATATGAATAGTCTATAACTATGAAAGCATTTGCATCTATACATTAAAAATCTTCTTCACAATAAATGTCACCCTGCCAATAGCTTCCCCCAAAAATTATACCAATGATTAGAAGAAGAAGTAAGATCAAGCATACAGAAACACTTCAAAAGCGCAGAAAAATGCCAAGGGTGATCATTAAGGAGCACTATCATTTTATATTATACCCAAGAAAATGTGCTGTCAGGACGTAGTAGGCAAGTGGCCAGCAACCGAGGATGTAAACAGTGCAGTGTCAAACAAAGCAAGGAAGGAACATTTTCATGAGGTAGGTCTTGAGCAACATTTGCGCTAGAGATGGATAATTCAGATCAAGACTGAAAACTGTCCTTTACAGTTTGAAGTCCAGAGTTACCACTGGGCACAGGCATTCAATTTTTTGAACATGACCCACAGTTAGGAATGTATTTTATACCATGGTTTAGTACAACCACATACACACACACAACTGAAATCACAGTGTCATATAACAATTTTGTATGTGATGCACTCTGATGTTTTTTAAGTATGCTATCCTACTTATGATCATGATGATGTTTGGTGAAATAAATTTATTTTGAAGCCCATGGAATCTGCTCAGTGGAGTGGCAGTATTAGAAGCAAGTTATTGGGAGCTGAGGTGTGACAGAGAAATGCAAAGTTCCCAGCAATGAGACTACACAATTCTTTCAAGAATCATGAGAACACAGTTGAAGCAATATCAGCAAGAAAGTGAATTCCTTTATAGAAGCAAAGAGTAGAATTGCGGTTGCCAGGGGATGGGGGCTGGGGGAAATGGGGAGATTTTGGTCAAAGTGTACAAACTTTCAGTTATAAGATGAATAAGTTCTGGGGCTCTAATGGACTGCATAATGACTATAGTTAACAATACTGTATTGTTTACTGGACATTTGCTGAGAGTAGATCTTTAGTGTCCTCACCCTCCCCCCACATACACGGAAAATAATTATGTGTAGGGATGGATATGTTAATTTGATGTGGTAATCATTAGACAACGTATACATGTATCAGAGCATCACACTGTATACTTTGAATATATACAATTTTTATTTGTCAGTTATACTTCAATAAAGTTGGGGAATAAAAGAAACAAAAAAAGTGAGTTTCCTTTAGATATACTTGCCCACAGAGACTGAACATTGTTATTCTTAATTGTTTATTTTAAGTAATTACGTGATTATTACACCTAGATACTAAAGCAAACAGAGCAAAAAAAAAAAAAAAATTCTTTAAAAAACGCGGTCTTACTATATGGCCTGGGCTGGGCTCTAACTCCTGGGCTCAAGGAGTGCTCCCATCACAGCCTCCTAAGTGGTTTGGGACTATAAAACCAGAACCATGCCACCATGCCTAGTTTTTTGCAAATTCTTTTTTGCTTGTTTGGGTTTTTTTTTTCTGTTCATTTGTTTGTTTGTTTTGAGACAGGGCCTCACTGTCACTCCAGCTAGAGTGCAGTGGCTTCATTATAGCTCACTGCAACCTCAAACTCCTGGGCTCAAGTGATCCTCCTGCCTCAGCCTCCTGAGTAGCTGAGACTATAGGTACATGCCACCATGGCTGACTAATTTTTCCATTTTTTGTAGAGATGGAGTCTCGCTCTTGCTCACGCTGGTCTCAAACTCCTGTCCTCAAGCAATCCTCCTACCTTGGCCTCCCAAAGTGCTTGGATTACAGGTGTGAGCTACTGTGCCTGGCAGTAGCTTTGCTACTGCAAATTCTTGAGCAAAAACAAAACAAAAAAATCCCACTTTTTATCACCTGCTCATATTCAAAGTGATCCTAATTTAAAATACCCGAGAAATAAAAATAAAATCCTAAGGCCCCCAACTGACTCCCTCTTGCCCAAGGGGACCCCAGAAAAACTTTGAAACTGAAATCGTGGCCATGACAGGATGGGCGGTCAGACATGCCTCATTGTACCCCCTCCCTCGTTAACCACCATTCGGCTTTTTTTCCAAAGGGCTAAACAGAACCAGCCCTTTTGAAAGACTTGCTCCACTGCTGACTTCAATCAACTGCCTAACGCTGCTTTCTGCAGTTTGGACACTACAAGTGACCAGCATTCCTTCCTGATAAGGGCCCAGTGACCACGGAGTGGCTCTGACCAGTCTATGGAGGATGCACGGTGAGGGTTTTTTTGTCCTCTGCTTCACCTTTTGACATTAGAGGGGCCAAAACTCCACCCCTGGATCATACTAACACTGCCATTTTTTGTACATGTAACCAACAAAGGGGCAAGAGGCTCAGCTGTGCACGTGTATGTTTCTCCTTTCATAAATGCTCATGACTCCTCGTATAGCTTGTTAAATACGTGCATTGGCCGCCCTGCCCAGCATCAACGCCCATTGCCTACGCAGTTCCCTCCAAGTACACGTTCTCAGCTTCTGCCCAAGGCTATTGTTTCCAGCATGTCAGAATGGCCACCTTGCAGGCTGCAACACTTTATGAGAAATAAAGCTCTCCTTTCCAAATTTATGAACCTTGTCATTCTTCAGCTGACATACCAATATATAAATTCAAATCAGAAGGATTTTCGTTAACTGCTTCCCACAGAAGTGCTGCTCAAAATAGATCATACACAAATATTACTGTAATACAAAGAATGATGTGATCAGTTCGATGAGAGTTTAAGGACTCTAAGCAGCATCTTTCCAATCTTATATTAAAATAATATTAAGAGCATGTCTGATCACTTAGACGTTTAAATTTACGCTTTCCCAGTATGAAAAATATTGTAAAACAATGACTTACTTTTCTTACCATGACCTTGACCTTGTCTTTCAACTGCAGTCATTTCCTGCCTACAAGGAAAGAGATACTAACATGAGATTCTCCATGTTCTCAGAAGCTGAAAATGCACTTTAAAGAAGCATGTGGTTGTCCTTAACCTAAGGTCATTGCTAGGTTTACAATACAAATGTTAAATATAATTAAAACCCTGCTTACTCTAGCCCTTTCTGAAATACTCAAAAAATCTATGAAAACAATGAAAAGTGAAGAATAAAACTCTATATATCCTGAAGCTAAGGAATTACTAGATTATCAGACCATGTATATTATCACATGTATGGAAAACACACGTGCAATATAATGAAATTTAGAATAATTCAAGGGAGAAGATTGAAAGTCTTGAAATTTATTTCTCAGCTGTCCTTGATGAGAGCGTGTAAATCTTTAAAGGTAAATGAGAGGGTCCCACTATTCTAACTATAAACTTAACAGTGACAGACATTAACAAGTGTGGGCCAGAGATGAAAGAAATAGAGATTATCTCTATAAGGACACAATTCCGCACCACAACAGAGAGGGGACAAAGCGGGGTTGAAGCTGCCAACATATCGCCTTTGATTTCTCTGTCTCCCAGACTCTAAATTTAAGGGGAAATACGGAGGCGACAAAGGATACGACCTGTAACGAACTGCCTGCTGCACATGTGGCCAACAACACAGAACAGAGACATGCCCAAGCAGAGGGAAAAAAAGTATTTGGTGAGAAGGCATTCTAAAACAATATGCCAAAATCAAAGCTGGTATCTTAGCTTATTTCTCTTCTGTATCCTCCTTAAACACACACACATGTGTGCGTGCACATACACACACACACACACACAATTTTGTCTCACAAACGATCTGCTTCCAGTCAAGGTACTAAGCACAAAGTTACAAAGATGAACTGGACAACAAAAAACAAAAGCAAAGCCAAAAAAGCAGAAACAATATTTCAAAGGCAGATATACAATATCTGTTTATTATTGTTAATAATTAGTGTTAATAAAAAATATCAATGGAGAAGAAAAGTGGGCTGGCCTTAATCAGGAAAACAATTGAGAGGAATGATAAAATCTTTAGAGAAATTAAAACAACATTAAAAGTATCAATAAGTCCTTCCAAAAACAGAGCAGTGGTATGCAAAGTATGCCTGAAATGAAAATTAAATGGTAGAAAATGAGGACATAGAATGGTTAGAGAAAGGATGATAATTACAAAAAATGAAGGTCTAATATACATGTAATTACTATGTCTAGAAATGAGAACCCAACAAACGAAAGAAAAGTATTCAAAGATATAATGACAGAGAAGTTACAAAATAAAGATTTGAATCCAAAAATTCATTTCACAGGGGAAAAAAATATTATATGAAACACTGAGGTATACTGACTATGGTTAATAGTAATGTATTATATACTTAAAGTTTGCTAAGAGAGTAGATCTCAAGTGTTCTCATCCTCCCCCGCCCAAAAAAAACTGGTAACTATTTAATCCAGTAATCCCACTACTGGGTATCTACACAAAGGAAAAGAAACCAATATATAAAAGGGATATATGCACTCACATATTTATTGCAGCACTATTCACAATAACAAAGACATGGAATCAACCTCAATGTCCATCAACAGATGAATGGATAAAGAAAATGTGGCATATATATACAATGGAATACTATTCAGCCACAAAAAAGAATAAAATCACATCATTTGCAGCAACATGGATGGAACTGGAGATCATTATCTTAAGTGAAATAAGACAGGCACAAAAAGAGAGATATTACACGTTCTCATGAATATGTGGGACCTAAAAAATTGAACACAGGGAGGTAGAGAGTGGAAAAATATACTGGGAAGGGTGGGTTGGGGGTAGGCAAGAGGATGAAGAAGAGGGGTTAAAGGGTACAAACATACAGAAAGATAAAAGGAACAACTTCAATATTTGATAACAGAATAGAATGACTATACACAACAAAAACGTATTGTATTTGGGTAACGGACGCCCTGAATACCCTGAATTGATCACTACACATTATATACATGTAACGAAATTTCTATGTATCCCATAAATTAGCACAAATTTAAAAAGGTAACTGGGTGAAATGATGATAGATATATTAATTTGTTAATATGTTTGATTGTAGTAATCATTTTACAATGTATACATGCATCAAAACATCATCTTGTACACCTTAAATACACACATGTGTGTATAGTTCCATTCTCTAGCTGAGAAGTCTGGGCCATCTTAAGCCCCTTCCACTAATGACTTGGTTTTGCATATATTTTCCCCATGGGTGTTAAGGAATCATATTCAAAATATTTATAATCAGTACGAAGCAAAGAAAAAGAAAACATGAAAGGTAACTCAAACAAAACTACTTTCTCCCAGCTGAAAACATGTAGGAAAAATAACAGAAAATATATAATTAATAAAGTTTCTCTAATAGATAAATTTCAAAATTATGATCCTTGAACAAAACCTTGCATAATATATTTTCAAAATCCACGGGCATAAGAAACACAATGACAGCTAGTATTTATTGAGTGCTGGTACCACCTAACCATTGTGCCAATTAATAGGCATTGATTTTTTTTTCACAAACACAATCTAGAGTTCTAGTATTTTACGACTACTTTACACATGAAGAAGCCAAAATTTAGAAAATGTAAGTAACTTGTCTCCAAGTTGATATATATGACAAAGATGACTTTAATAAAATTCACGAAGCAGAAATAACACACACCACACAGATACTGATAACAATGAAATAAAATTAAAATTGTATTTAAGAATATAAAACAATGTTTGAAATTAAAAACCACTGAGGCCCAAGAAGAAATTAAAAGCAAAGTTGCAAAATATTGGAAAATAATAGTATTTCCTTTAGTGACACATAGGATACAGATAAAATACTATTTAGAGGAAAGTTTATATTCTTATGCGCCTCCATTGCTAAGAAAAATTGAGAACAAAACAATTAAGTTTTGCATTGAAAACAATTAGAATAGCAATTTTAAAAACACAAGGAAAGCAAAAATGAGAATTCAGTAAAGATAAAAGCAATGATACTATGACAGCCTGGAAAAAGGCAAACAGAAATCAGATCCGTGGTTCCCGGGGTTGAAGGGTGGGGGATGGAAATATTCTAATCTTGATTGCGGTGGTGGTTACATGACGGTGTATGTTTTTCTAAACTTATCAAACTGGATACATAAAAAGGGTGAATTTTACTGCACTATGCCTCTATAAACCTGAATTTTAAAAGCTAAGTGACTTGAAAGAGCTCATCCTCTCCTTTCTATAAATATGTTTAAAGTTATGAATTAAATGAATGATATTCTGGTAAAAATAAAATAACCAGACTTGACTCAGGAGGATACAGAGAATGTAACTTTATACAAAAGGTTTCATCCTGTGAAATTAGCCAAACAGCAAATGGCCTTCAGTTCTAGCCCATGGAAAACACACATTTTACTGCAATTGACTAAGACAGTCAAACAGTTCAGCTCTTCCCCACCACGCTGACTGGTGAAAATTCCATGAGTCCCACCCATGAAATTTCCTTGGATGGGAACACCCTAAAGATATTTAATTTCTCTTCATTTAGTCATTGTCTGTTTGTAAGAAAGACTTGCTGGCATTTGAAAATGTTAACGCTTCTTTAATAGGAAAGAATTAGAGAATAACTTGATCTCGCACTAGATGTGATGAAACAAAAGCTTAGTTTCAATGTCTAGTTGATGCCTAAATTAAATGCCTAAGTAAATATCTACATTATATTCCTAATTTAATTGCCTAATTTTAAAACCTAGTTTTAATGACACTATACAGAACTGATTCCAATGGCTGCCTGAAAAGAGATTAAGAACATCACCACATCCAAATCATACCGGAGGATGACAAAGAGTCACCAGACAGGCATAGCCTCTCCACTGTCCCTGAGGGTTGAGAAATCAAGTGAACTCTGTCCTTTGTGCAGAGAAAATTTGGTGAAACGTTTGGGAGGTGGCTGATGTCTGCAAACATCATTCTGCATCGCCAACAAACACGTGGCCCTTGTCTTCAATCCTCCACCCCTGCACACGAGGTAAGAGAAGAAGGTCTTGATGGACACACTTGAAGCTCTGACTTGGGGGGGTGGGGGGCAAGGGCAACATATGTAACCTAAACATCTGTACCCCCATAATATGCTAAAATAAAAAAAAATTAAAATTAAAAAAAAGAGAAGAAGGTCTTGGTTTCTATCTTCTCAAAGATAGAAGAAACGATTAGGAAAGAGGTTGAGTGCAAAGATATGAAAAGCCCACGGTTAGCAAACAAGGGAGGGTGGTTCTGTCCATCTAAGCCAGGGCAAGATATCAATGTCTAAAGATCTGCTGTTTTTCCACTGTTTTTTTCTTTTTTCCACTGAGTATCTTGCAAGGGTGGGCAACAGATACACACCAGTAAGTGAAACAGACATGGTTAGTGCCTTAAAGAGCATGTAGCCTATAAAGGGAGAGGGACTATGAAAAGCTAAAATAACATACAGAGTTACAAGTTGAGATAAAGGCCACAGCAAATAGAAGCACGTGTGGTACCAGGAAACCACGGAGGGCAGAAGCAAAGTTCCTGCACAATCTAGTTAGGGAGGTCGTTCAGAGGAGGCCTTGAGAGCCAGCATCTGCAGGAGACTGCGCCGTCAGTCCAGGCGGGCGGTCAGGGAAAGACCCTGCGGAGAAAGAGCAGCGCGGCCCAACGCCCTCAGGCGAGGCTGAGCTCGGGCCTGAAGAACATAAATGAAAGCAGAGTGCCTGGAAGAGCGCGGGCGCAGGCGGAGGGTGCGGAATGAGATTGCGGAGGCCGCAGGAGTCAATCCTTAGCGACTGTAGGCCCTGGTGAAGAGTCTGGAGTTCACTCTGGATGCAATGGAGAACCCCAGAACTGCCAAACAAGGAACAGACACGGTGAGACATGTTTTCCAAAGATTATTCTGGCTACTCATGAGGAATAGGTTGGAAGAGTGGCCACTGCAAACAGCCAACCGGAAACAAACATTCTTTAATTTAGGTACGTGTTCCTAGGCTTGCTTTACGTAGCCAGTAAGAAACAGAACACGCACACGAATACCCTATCTCTCTTGTTTAGGCAGAGACACCGTCTACCCGTGCCAAGTCGTAGAGGTCACCCCCAAAGAACCCTATCACTGTGGCTCTAAGACGTCTTACTTCCCATAGCACAGATTCTGGAAGTAAATCCTGGGGGAAAACGTTCCAGTATGCTCTGTTCTTACCGTTTTCTTTCCACATCTGGGTTTACCTTCCCGAGCTCCTTTTGATTCCCTCCCAGGCAACTATATGGAAACACAGGAAAAAAGAGAGATTGTTACTGTCCTCCAAATTCTTTCACCTCCTTCTCCAGCTTTCCCGGCCATTAAAACCAAACCTGGATGTTCTTTTTTTTTTTTTTTTTTTTTTTTTTTTTTGAGACAGAGTCTCACTCTGTTGCCCGGGCTAGAGTGCCGTGGCGTCAGCCTAGCTCACAGCAACCTCAAACTCCTGGGTTCAAGCGATCCTCCTGCCTCAGCCTCCCGAGTAGCTGGGACTACAGGCATGTGCCACCATGCCCGGCTAATTTTTTCTATATATTTTTAGTTGTCCGATTAATTTCTTTCTATTTTTAGTAGAGACGGGGTCTCGCTCTTGCTTAGGCTGGTCTTGAACTCCTGAGCTCAAACAATCCACCCACCTCGGCCTCCCAAAGTGCTAGGATTACAGGCGTGAGCCACCGCGCCCGGCCTGGATGTTCTTTTTTCAAACTTCTCTTTCCTTCAGAATTGACAGGCAGTCACAGATACACAACACATTTCAGAAATTAACCACAAAGACCAGGCTTGCAATGGTACAAAATGCTTGCAGTCTGACCTTTGATTCTCTCAGTCTGTGTTTAACAATCAGGAAGGCTCCAGGGTTTGGATGTATCATGACCAGGCATGCAAACTTCCTGACTCTCCACAAGAGGCGAGAGGTCCCAAGAAGGTATAAAGACACTAACAACAGGAAGGTGCAGCTTCTCCAACAACCATAGACAGGACCAGCAGCTCGTACACAACCTTGTGGAGAATGGGGCTGTTAAGCTTGGCCCCCTGAGCTGGAGTAAGCCTCTCTGGACCCTGCCTGTGTGGTCATCTGTGTATGGATACGGTGTTGCAATCTTTACCCACACTCAGAAAAGTTTACCTTTTGCATGTTACTCTTGCTGTTTTCCCATCCACTATCATCACCCTTATGATAATCAAGCAAACACTAAATGAGAAAGTCAGAAAAATCAAGTGATTTGCATGGTTAACACAATAGTAACAGACCAAAGCTTGTGACTCAGTTTACCAACTTTCTACTCCAGCAGTTGTCCAAACATAGCATTTCTTTCAGTGTTCTTTTCCCTCTATCCTCACATCCCCAACACTGGTCTGTCTTCCTGCTTCTGTGTAGGTCTGCCTGTGAAATATTTCAGACTGTGAGCCTCACTCTGCTTACCAGCAATACTCAGGGAAGGCACCTGGAACCAGCACTGAGGAAATGACTTAACAGGGCCACAGAATAGAATCTATTAGAGACAAAGTAAATTAGATTTACAGAGGAGGGGCCCTTTTTATAGGCCGAGTTCTGATGTAGATATTTTTATATAACAATCACGAGCATGTCAAATCTAGATGTTAGTAATTATCTGATTGTGTAGACTGTAAATCAGGTACAGTGTAATTTCAGTGTCCCCTGACTTCTCTTCTTTTTCTATTTCCCTGGAGTCCAGTTTTCTTCCTAAACTGGTCTATGAAGAAAGAATCTGGTAAAATAATTCTCCTTGAGGTTATTAATAAGTCACTGGCTCATCCATCCAAAGGATGTTTGTATTTTACAGTTAAAAGCAGGACAGGAAAGTATTAATACTTAACATTAGTAGGGACCTAATAGGAATTCCATGTCATTAATATTACTTAACATAACTGGACACTAAATTCCACCATATATAAAGCTTTTTTTAAATCAAGAAGAATTCAGATAATGTCAGGCCACAGGTGATGCACAAAAATTTGTGACTGAATTAATAATTCAGCTAATACTTTATTATTTTAAAGAAAAATAGTCATTACATTAAGTTTTAAAATGTATCTTGGCCAAAGTATTGAGATTTTAAGTAATTTTTCCACATCTTCTGATTTTTCCTCTTTTTTTTCCTTTTTTTAATTTTCCAAATGTTTGATGTTAACTTATGACTTCAAAACTCCACAAAGGAAGTCTTAATAAATACCCCTCAAAATCAACAATATGCACACTATTTCTCCATCAAACAGTAAAATTAAAAATCAATAATAAAATTATAACTAAAAATGTACATGCCTAGGTACAAGTAATAACTAACTAATCCTTATGTTAAAGAAGGAATCATAAGGAACTTCCTAAAAACAAATAATAAAATAGTAACACTAGCTACACAAGACTATTTGAAGGATAAAATGAAATGTAAAGAAAATACCCTCATAAAAAAACCACAAATGATTAACAATGACAAAGTAAGCATTTATCTTAAGAAGTTTGGAAAAAGGAAAAGGAAACAACAAAAGTTGTGGGGAGAAATAAATGCGACAGCGAACCAAACATTAGCAGAGAATCGTATCAATGAGATGGCACAAGTCTCGCAAGACCAATTAAGGAAATAGGGAAGAGCCCCCAAAATAAAATGAAAACAGAAAATTCAGAATAAGTACTGCAGACCTAAAACAAATATTATGGAAAATTATATAATAAACATGATGGCTTAAAATGTATAATATCTTGGAAAGAATATAGTAAAATGGGCACATAAATACCATCAATAACTAAAAAATTTCTAGCTCACATGGTTCCATACATAATTTTATCAGACTTCAAGTGACAAATACACCCTCTCTCAGACAAGATGTTCCAGAAAGTAGAAAAAATGTAAAATGATTCCAAACCCATTTAATGGGATTGGTATACTTTCATTACAAAATTAAATAGAAGACAAAACAATCATCAGCCCAATTCAACCGTGAAAATAGACGCAATAATCCTTAATAAAATATGAGTTAACTAAATCTAAAAGCGCAGTAGAAATAACACACATCGCAATCAAGTGGTTTTTATCCCAGAAATTTCGGGATAGGTCCTCAGCTTTAAAATCTGTTAACATAATGAACCACTTTAGAAGTCTAAAAGAATTATGAGGTTATCTCAATAGTTCAAAACACGCATTAGGTAATATTTAGCCCCAATTAACAATAAAATTCTTGGTCGCGGCGCTGCGGCTCGGCCTTTGAGCCTGGCTGGTCCCCGGGCCGGACCGCGGCGAGGGAGCGGGGCGGCTGCGTGCGAGGGGCGGCCGCCCGCGCAGAGGCGGCGCTGCACCCGCTCCGGCTCCAGGGACCTGCGCTCGCGTCGGAGCAGCCGCTGGCTCCGGGACTGCCGGCCTCGCTGCCAGTCCCCGCGCCGCCGCCCCACCAGCGCCCCCGCGCGCCCGCGCCCCCTGCCAGGCCGGGTGGCGGCGGCCGGAGCGCAGCCGCGGCGGGAGCCCGCGTCCAGGAGGAAGCTCACGGCCAGCGAGACGCTGAGCGCGCACTGCGAATTCCGGAAGCGGCGGCGGGGCGAGCGGAGGGCGAGGTGCGGCCGGGAGCCGCAGTCGGCGCCAGACCAGTGGACCGTCCCGGGAACCCCGCCGAGGAGGAGCCGGCGGTGCTCCGTGAAGGAAGTTTCCGCGGAGCCTGGCGTCTAGGGGAAATTGGGCAGACGCCTGGGCATATTCGAGAACCGAGACTGAAAGCACAGAGTATATGTTTATGTTCGTACAGTCACTGAAGTAACGGAAGATTGAGAAGATTCTATTAATGTCAGAAGAAGAGAGAGTGGTTCAAAATAGAAGATGCAATCAGAGTTCTCCCGTGTCATAGACCTGTACGTGAGGAGTCTGAAAAACTAAAGCGGGATAGTTCCCAAATTCCGCGGTCCCTTCGCTCGCAGATGATAAAGCCTTGCTCGTAATTTCTGCGCAGCCCTCGGGTTGCCTCTAGCGTAAGAACCGGGAAGACCTCTCCCACCCTGCCGCGACGGGAGGCTCCTTCGTTTTCTTTGGCAAGCATCTGAGTGACGCTTGCGAGTTGTTTGAATTTGCCAGGCAGGGTTTTCAAACAATTTGTGCGTTTTGCAGATGCCTTCCATCTTTTTTTAAAAAAATAGTTTTAAGATATTTTAATAAGCCAAAGCCATGTGGAATTTTTTTTAGACGCCTTAACTGTGCCCCTTACCTTGTGTTATTTTGGTTATCATTTTTCACAGCGTTTTTTTTTCTTCAGTTAACTCTGCATTTGACATCAGTTTGTGGTTTATTTTGTCAGATCAAATTACTTGTGGGTATATTTTCCCCCATAATTTTCTTACTCACAGCATTAACATACTCAACAAAGCCTTCTGTGGTAGGCATTAATGAAAATAGTCTTAATATTAAAGAAATACCTCCATCCCAAACTTGTTTTATAGGACCACAATTTTAATTGAGAAATTGTATATTTGGACTATTTCTGTACAATCCAGTAACTTGTGACAAATGATTTAATTTGCTATTTGCAGGAATTTGTCAACTCATTTGTCTGAATTTTCACAACTAGTGTAATGTCACTAGCTACTTGATATGGCCATTTCCCCTTTAACTCAATGGTAGTTTAACATGAACTATACAGTTGTTGACTTTTAGGGAAATGTTGTCAGCAAAATGCATGTAGTAAGTACATCTAATCATGAAAACCATATTCATGGAATTTGATTTAGCATGCTCTGTTGCCAATTCCCGTTATCTGTAATCTCTCTTTACACAGTATACCTTGGAATTGTATTTCCCTCAATGTAAATTGCTCTTAAAACATATTTTCGGTTTTTTAATTTAGTGACACCTCTTCAGTTAAACTCCCATGTTTACCAATAACCGCAGGAGTGGAGTCAAACCTTAAATGCCAGGACTGAAACACAGTTGAGAGAGATAAACTTCTTGCAGTTTTAAGATTTTAAGATTGTTGATCTGTCACGTAACTAACTTTTGGGGCACTGGAACATACCTAAATGGAGGATCATTTTGTCTTATACTTGTCTTTATACTCACTTAAAAACCAAAAATCCCATCTGAAACACATAGGTACCTTGTCTGAAACTCGGGCACTTCCCCAGCCAGGTCGGAAATGAGGTGGAAGGAAAAACCTTTGACTAAGATGTAGGCCTGGGGAGATCGAAAGATCATTTGTTACGTAGACGTTCACCTTTTGTAAATATTGTAACTGGTGAGTATAAA